GTCTGCTTATTGATGAAAAACATTGAATTATCAATTAATGCCGAGGTTAACAGAAAGTCGGTCATGGGAATTACTACATAGTGAATAATTTACAAAGGAATTAAAAGGGCAAAAACTGTTCGGTGAATGGAATCGGTTTCAATCGAATCTAATTATTAAACAAGTTGCGGCAACTTCCATCATTTCGGAATTACCAAACAGAAAAACTGAATTTAAAACATGCAATCAACATGACTACCTTTGGTGTGACTCTCGTGAGAGAAAGAATTCGAAATAGGACAAACTCCGGTTGCTGCAACAAGGCCCACAAAGAAGCACGATCTGCCGCCGACATCGGTTCTCCAGGAGTCCTATTAGGAGCGTAATCACTCAACACTTGAACATCCCATTAGATTTACTTCTCAGTGTTTGATAACACCTTTGACGACGCTAGATTTCCAACACGCGCCCGAAATTCTTACATAATTACGGTACTCCAAAACCTAAGGACGTGATAGCCTGTAGCATCTAGGCAAAAAGGATCATCATGGTCTACTCTGCGAAATACAATGTGTTTCGAGGTCTCGATGTTCGAAAAGGAGTATAATCTAACAAATCAGGACTTTATCGCCTTAGAGTAGAAAACTTCCATTGTTGGAAAACAAATGGAGATTCTAGTGGTTTTTGTTTCAAAAGTTTGCCATGAGCTCAGAAATTACACTTCAAAGTTGAGAAGGGCATTTTTGGAGATGAATGTATTGAAATTAACGCGTGCCGGCGAAAGTTTGAGAATGCTTGCCTTCGTAATGTTGGCCATAGGATTTCCATGAGGTGTTTTTTGTAGTAATGTGGCCATCCCAAACGCAGTTCGTCGTTAACCAGATTCAGAATCTATACGAAAAACACATACGCCAAATTTTTATGTGATTAGGACAAAACTCGAAGACTTCAGTGATTTACTGATAAACAAGTTACGAAAAGACATGACGATGAAAGAATGAAAGAGAAAACTGTAATATATATTACCATGTCTGAAAATTCATCATAGCTGAGATTTTCATCTAGTCGTGCAAAATGATTCATAGAAGGATGTATACTCTTAAACACAGCAGTTTGTCCTCCATCCTTCAAAACCAGTACTGTCTGAAGAAACCCATATGAAGAAATCAAAATATTCCTTATCGAGAACACATGTTCACCTTGTTTCCCTCGTAGTAGTCGTTGATTTTCCACTCTCGTTTATAGCATAGTCGATTGCATGAATCTCCTGATATCAGACCGTCACGAAATGAGTCGCATAACTTCGTAAGAATATCCATTGCTCTGCAGTTAACTATTTTACTCTTCGAATAAAAGAAATAGTATCTATAAAAGCATAGATGTATTACAAAATGACTAAAAAGTACCTTGTTTTATTCATTTTTGTCGACGGTGCCGAGCCGTTCACGTCTATGACGGATACGGCACGGTTTGATGTAAGAACTGTAATGAAGGAGTTAAGCCTATAATAGTAAATGAAAGAGGTAACACTTAGTATACCACCTAGTGACCTTGCCACTAATATGAAAAAAGGAGGAAAATTGGATATCATGAACAAACATATTCGTGCAAAGTTGCCACATCAAGCAGCCTGTAATTTCACGTTCTCAAATGAGCGAACAATTATTTCAGGGTAGACAGCTGACATCACACTTGATCCATCCAATCCTACAGGGCACTTAAGAATATTTAAGGGTACTTCAGCGCTGAGTGAAATCTTTGTGAACAGAAAGGATTTCATTCAAACTGATGAGTGCAGGAATCATGCTTCATTTTGCACTGAATGCGGACGCAGCGTATGAGCAAGCGAAGATAATTACTATCGAGCATCTTATTATAACATGATAGTTCTTTATAACTGTTTTCATATTTAACTTTAACGCCAAGCAGAGACTAAGTGCTTTGTACGCCACCGCCAACTTTGTCTGTAACACATAATACCAAACTAGAATCAACGATCCATGAATAAAATCAAAATTCATAAACAAAAGTAAAAATTATGTCTCGCTATGAACAGGATTGAAATCCTTTTTTCCAGTGCACTGAACAAAGTTTTCAAACTTTACAAATGATGTGTACATACTTTTTTATTGAACAAAAGATGTTCTTACTGAAAAAATATCTCCGTTCACTACAGAATGGCCGGTATTTCGGCGATCAGAAGATCAAATGCTGTCAAAAATGTGGTAAACTTATATTTACGCTAGGAAACCAGCTTGGACTCGTTGTCTAAATAAATACGGCGAGAGAATGAAATAAGTAAACTGACCAATAGAAGCGAGGTAAACGAACAGCATGAGAAAGACTGTAATAAGCAGACGACCTGGCCTTGAACACGCGAGTGTACGAAATCCGTCGTCAAACCAGTCTGCAGCGCTGAAATCGCTCATAATGTCTTCAAATTAGCTCTAGGCGAAATTACATTAATACGAAGCAGAGAAAGAATGAAATCCAGACCAAACGTGCCCATATTAATTGCATAAATCATAAAAGCAAATAACAAACAAATGAATGGCACCAAACGAATCTGTCATGTAGTATATTTTATGAGAAAATCCTCACTAACTAGGACAACTAGCAATACCTCGCATTTACACTAACGACTAGTTTTCACTGTACTATTTGATGTAGTGCAACCGATCTTTCACGAAAAACCTACAGAGTGAAAATAAAAGAGCAAAAAATTTCGATCAAATAATTGGCTTAAGCGGTATTTTTCCAAGCATATTTCCCGAAACCCGAAAGTGTAATATGTCGAAAAGAACCAGATTTTACACAGACGGCAACACAGCTTCATCCCTCCATTCGGAGATTCTAGAATGCTTCTGAAGACTATAGAAAGCTTTTACAGGAAATACATGTGACAGTGAAGCAACAGCTTATATAAGGAGATTGGAACGACAGATGCTGAGGAATACCTGACCCCGAACTGTTAGACGCAGGAGAATAGCTGTTAAAAAGAAATTAAAAAACTGCTTTCTTCCCGTTTGCGAGGCAGGTGCATGAGATAGTCGCTATAAAACAATTTGCAGAATGCGCAAGGATAAGTTGTGGAAATATACGATAGCACAGAACACAGAAATTATTCGGGGAATAGTTGCTACAAGGGTTCCCCTTTCATCATAAAACCCGCCGAACACTGGTTGAGTCGATTCTAAGACTCTGATACAGCCATAGTAGCGTTCCCACTTGGAATGTGGAGAGTGAAGTTTCTCGACACTCTCCACACGAGTGTGGTACCATGTGGTAGCAAATCCCCTACGCCAGAGGGATGACATGTTTGGTGAGCCAGAGACGGAATCGAACCAGTACAGCACCTGCGGCGCTCAGCATAACTACCACTGCGCTACGCAATCCTTAGGCAATTCTGATACTACTATAATATTCATAGCAACACGAAAGTTCATCACACGAGGGATCTCGGGACGATTATTCGCCAAACTACCGAAAAGGAAATTAAGTGCAGACTAAAATTGACTATAACAATACTTGCTCAGAAGTGCAGACGAATTCAAAGAATGGAATCCTTGTGGTTGTTAACCAATACTTTCCATAAATTAGTAATTGTATTCAAAAATACGAGTGACGGTGTACATCTGAACATTTCTGACTGTACTCCGGACTATGCGACTGAACAGCAAATATGAAGAGACTTGAGGTCGCGTCCATCAAAAGCTGTTTTCAAAAAGAGAAATAAAGCGCATCATATGAAATATGTATTCTCACAGTTTCTCGATCAAGTAAGTCAAGAAACCAAATTAGGTTTCGCCCGAAAGCTTGTTAGACGTGCATTGCGCAAATTCTGAAAATATCATGAATACCACTTCCATACAAAGCGCAGTAAGTGACTATGGAAAAAAAATCTTCGCGTCCTTCTTGATAGTTGTTAATTTAAATCTATACTTTGGGACAATTAAAACGTTCCAATTTAATGAAAGGGGCTTCTTCAGAGATCGTATTGAGTAAGTCACTTCAATCTTGTGAATATAAATAATTCCTCCGAATGGTCCACCCTCTCATCGTTATTGGAAGGTGTTCCAGGATGTCGGGCAGCGATGTAGGGGATTCATTCCCCCAACAGGGTCTCGAAACTGAAAAGGAGTACGGCGTTTCCATCAGGAAACCAAACTAAGACCAAACCAATGCCAGGTTTTCCACCACCGTCTTGGTATCAAAGTCGCATGGTGGCAAATCTCCCTCTGATCCACGAGGGTGGCGACTGCTTGTGGTGATGATAACCTAGAAGACTTTGTTTGGCTAGGCCGACCTCGGGACTCCAGGGAATCACAGTGGCTAAACCACAAAAACTCTGAAAAAACAAGGAAATCATGCTCGGGTCCGCACAACCAGTGAGGACGAACCGTCCAAGTATCCAAGTAAATATAAATGATCAGCGAAAACATTCGTAATGTTTAGTTTCAACACTCTACGTTATTTGAAGACACAATGTGAACTATGTACACAATCGACTATCACTGAGAACAAGCAAATATACGACAAGCAACTAAAGTTATCGTCAATGGAAGTTATGAATGTTCCCTCAACTTCCAAGCGGCTCAGCTACAACATTTTGCAAGAAGGAATCTAATTTCCAAGTATGAAGTAGAAATAATCCAAATGGATAAGTGCTTCAACTATTGTGCTTCTTAAATATGAAGAATGAACAGTTATTGGCCTACTACCACAATGCATTATGAATTGTCAAAAACAGGGTTAACAAACAGAACTGGATTTGATGCCAACACGTCAAACTGTCTCAAAACGGAAGATCATGTACTTATACATATACATATATATTATGCATATTGTATAAATAAGCGAACGGTGGTAGTGATGCCGACCAACACGAGCACAGTGCTAGCTCGATCCCGCTACGAGTTCACCAAGTCTCTCATCCCTCCGGGGTTGGAAAACTGGTACCGGACTTGTGCGGAAAAAATCTCTGCAATCCAGATGGAAATGCTATAGCCCGGCTATCTCACGACTCTAGTGAGAATCGACTCGATTAGCATTCAAATTCAACATTCAAAATAAAACCGAAATTCTCAAGCAGGAGCCGAAGCCACACTTAAAAAGTTGAAAGAATCTTTGGATTTTTGAAATTTATCCAAAACGCCTCAAGAGTTTTGCGCGTTGATGTTTTTGATTCTTGCACTAGGATCCGCACATTTACTTCAAAATCATCGCCGTTGTGCTTTTGTGCCCTATACGTAGCTAGAAGAGTGTTTAGACGGATTTTAGCTTTTCCATCTAGATGTTCTTTTATGCGGACACAAAGTGGTCTACCCGTTTCCCCAATATATTCCTAGCCACATGTGTTATATGAGATCATGTTTATTATACCTAAACTCATGCAATTCCCAAAGTTCTCGGTAGGTTTTTCTCGTGTAAATTTTATATACTCTGATTGTCGGTTTAACAATTCAAAGCACTCATCCATATGTTCTTGTGTGGAACAAACTTTTGGTTTTTTTTTTGTTTTATGGTTTTTAAAAGTGGTTCCTAAACCTTATCCTGATCCAGTTGCTAAAATTCATTCCAACCCATCTACCTAACATCAAAATATTTCTAGAACACCTATGGCGCGCACAACCAAACAGCACGCATGTAATAGAGTCATTCGATGTTACGTCACTTTATACCAACGTGTCGAATGACTCCGTAGTGCGAGCCATTCTCCAGTTGCTCGTAGAGCATGAAAAGAAAATAGAAATGTACGACTTACCCATTGCACAAGTAATGACTCTCTTAAAACAGTATCTTAGTTGTTCAATCTTCAAATAAATCTGGGAAATAAGGGTTGGCCATGGGGCAGCGCTTAGCACCAAACCTTCCCATCGCTTTCATGTCTAAGGTGGAAGCTCCAGTTCTCGATCACCGACCCTTACTCTACTTCCGATACATAGACGACTGTTTTATCGTCTGTTCCACACAAGAACAGATGGATGGGTGCTTTGAATGGTTAAACCGACAATCAGAGTATATAAAATTTACACGAGAAAAACCTACCGAGAACTTTGGGAATTGCATGAGTTTGGGTATAATATACTTGATCTCATGTAACGCATGCTGCGAGGAATATATTGGGGGAAACGGGTAGACCACTTTGTGTCCACATAAAAGAACATCTAGATGGAAAAGTTAAAATCCGTTTAAACACCTCTCTAGGTACGCATAGGGCACAAAAGCACAATGGCGATGATTTTGAAATGTGCGACTCCTAGCGCAGGAATCAAAAACATCAACGCGCAAAACTCTTGAGGCGTTTTGGATAAATTTCAAAAATCCAAAGATGAACTGGAAAGATGCCTCACTATTACGGGTGACCTGGCGCCCTATTTCAAAATGATATTTTGACCCCGGGGTGTGTTTTGCTCGTGACCCCACTTTAACAACGCGTGGGCCAGTGTCACACGTAAAATCATGGTGAGTGGCCTTTCTGTTCAATATGGCGTCTATTTAAAAGTTTGATCTTCATTCATACTTTAACCTTTTTCCACTGAATAATTGAAGTATTCTAATATAAAATAGGTTCAGACCCTAAGGAAAGCGAAATCGCCGAAACGTCAGCCATCGACCAACACCACCAACAACAACGGCAACGACAACGAAAACCTGTACCAGTCTCGCGTGAGCTTAAGAAGATCACTTTATAAGATCATATAAGTAGATATATCAAGTATCTATGCCGGGTTTTATAGAAAGTCGGTCTTTCGAGTTATCAAAACACCAATGGTGAACAACACTCTCTACAGAAAGTGTGGCCACCTCCTTGAGAGTAGTGAATAATAGAAATTTAGTGCATGTTAGAGCTACCAAATAAGCAGGAACTTCTGCGCACACATGAGAGGAAAAAGAAAACAAAGCCACTCCTGACTTCCTTTTTTACGGAAATAAATTGAAAAATTTATTGTTTCTAAAAGTTTGTCTATAGAGAAGAGTAATTTGTAAAGTAAACAACCCTCTACTTTCAATGAATACTGAAACGTCAAAGACTTGTAAAGTGCATTTAAGTTACCAGTAGAAGACAACTGCTGAGAAAATCGTAGTAATGTGAAGGATCGCTGTAATAAATTGTGGTTTTAGCGTTCTGTAACAAGAACTAAAAACTAATCCCGTTTTCAGCACAACAGACTCCTCATTGTCGTCTAAGTCTTTAGATTCTACTCGTTCATTCTCCATGAATCGAGTGAAAATGGTGTTCAGTTGTAGCTCGCTGACATATGGTTTTAAAAATGCAATTCTTTACCATTAACCGAAAAGTAATAGGCGATGATTTTTATGGGAACGTAAACAGAAGTAAATGTTTGCTAGGTGGCGAACGGCAGCGAGACATTCATGACTTCAACATGTATCGTTATGAGGGAAATGAAAAACAACTAAGCAAAAG